AATCAGAAGCTCAGAATGTCCCCCTAATGACTTTCTCAGCCATTTTAATGGACCTGAAACCATTTTTTTCTTTTGAACCAATATTTCAACGAGGTAGTCTTCTCGAAATTTCATATTCTTTTAGACTAAAATACATCTCAGTTACTAAACTTGATAAATTGTGGTGGAATTCTATGGTTTTAATGAAGTAATTTATGATTTTTTAGTTATATATAAAACCTCAAAAAAGTATTTTGTTTCATATCCTCCATATGCAATTTTTTTAAAGGCTTACCAACCTACATTAAGCAGCAACCGAGTACAAAGGTCATAACTAGAAGAGATAATTGTTTGCTTTGATTCTTTAGTTACTGTTCCATGTTTTAAGAAAAATAAGTTTAAGAATTTATTTCAAAATAGCAATAATCTATATACATATATAATAATTGAAATTTGACTATATTTTACAAAATACTAGTCTACTAAAACATGTTACTTTGCACAGACCAAAGGCCAGTTTTATTTTATTTGATATGGTAACATGAGTGCACGTGAGCCACATCATTGTAACTTCTGTATTGCTAGCCAAGCACAGCTGAAAGGTCAATATAATAAATATGTATAATGTTATGAGATTTAAGCTATTTAGTCTTAACATTTATGTTTTCGTGTTATGATTTGTGTTCAATCTAGAATGAAAGAGACATAACTAATGTTTTCTAATTTTTTATGGTGGTTGCAAGATTGGTCAAATCTACCGAACCTGTACAGAGATTAATTCCTGAAAATAATAGATAAAATATAAATTTTTTTCTTAAGAAACATTTAAGATAATTATCTGGCCATTATAAAGATTTCGCATGTAAAATTTCAAAATTTTCTGATGCATAAAAGTATTTTTAATCTTAAAATGAATATTAATTTGCATGATAGATAAGCAACATGCGAAAAGAAAAAAAAGACACGAGAAAAACATTGCTTTATAAACCTTAAGACTTAATAAAAAAAATTAGCTATTTTGAGTATGAAAACATTGTAATGTTTACTGATAATCTGCCAAATTCCACTAACATTCGCTTACTAATTTAAAAGTTGTAACATGAAAACTATAACAATCACAAAATGGTTACGAGATCGGTCCCGGGTACTGAGCCTGTGCTGAAAGAGTTAAGAGCATTAATAAAAAACATTAGATATTTGTATCAAAACACACAAAATTCAGGTAACTTATTTTAAATATGCCATGGCTTTATGACACAGTGGGGTATTTTTAATAATAGAACAGCATTTCGAATATGAAACTGTAAAAGGAAAGTCAAGTCCAACTATTATTTGTCTTCCACAAATAAGTTCATAAATACACAAGAATGCATTATGAGGAAATGGAATGAAGCATACTCTTTTTTGTGTGTGAAAGAATATTAACAATTAAGCTCACACATATATCTTACACACCATAATATGATACACCTATATCTCCTAATATCTCGTACATCTGCTTTTAATATACTAGTTAATTTTATAATTTTGTAATAGAAAAATTATTTCTGTAGATCTTTTGTTTTGTAATCAGGGCTACTTTTCTGTGAGATGGACATAATTTTATGATAGTTCACTTCAATCTAAATTAAAATTCTTAAGCTCTCTCATTAAGCATGAAAAACAAAAGGGAGTAATATGCAATAATTACCCTAAAAATCAACTTCTTACCAAAATCAAAATGAAAGCAGCATTTGTTTCCTGACTTGAGCAATTCACTGCCCAACTTTTGCCAGTATCAGCAAGGTTTTGCTGTCTGTGTAAAATACACCTTATTGATGTTTTTATTCAGAATTTTCTTCATTATGGCATGTCTCTACTTTTGCTTACAGTCATCTTGACTTCTAGCTAAATACTCTTGAAATGATTTGCCTATAAATTAGATACTACATACACACTGGTTGCTTAATGTCTATTTAAGGTAATGCAGAATTCTGTCCTCAAGATTAGGACACCAAGTTTCGGGCAAACAAAAAATGCCACGGTAAATGCACTAATCAAAACAACATAGCAAATTCTGTTATCCATTCTGAAGACAAACTTAATAAATTAGCAGGGTGCAAGGCAAGCATTCTCATAAAGGTAAAAAAATTGAAATCTTATATTAGGTTTTTGTACTGATTGAATATTTTTGGTCAAATAATAAAATTAGAAGCAGCCCAAGTTAAACCACAGACACAAACTTTCCATGTTCCACCCAAACTATATTCAACTTCCTTGATAACTTAAAATCAAACTTAACCATATAATGCTAAGAAAATACAGTGAAATAGTACTAGAAACTGTTTTCAAAAATTGATATTCCTCATTCTTCAAATAATGTAAAAATTACACTCATCCTTTCCATTTGCTCTCTATGAAGAAGTATATGAAATATTCCACACTTTTGGAAATCTAGAGTAATAAACTTACTGCACCGTTATATATTAAAACATGCAATGATCAAATAACGAGATCACATTACACATGGTTTGACAGCATGTGTCAGTTCTGGTTTTAACACACATTTTGAATGCTTATTAAATACTTTTTTAAGCAAAGGTAAAACATATATAACTCTACAATCATCAATATTGACTATTTATATATTAATATGCCATATATATTCCTGTATTTTATATTTTACTGCCCATATTCTGATTTGTTGCTTGGTTTCAGCCTGCCAATAAAATTGTGCTGCCATGGAAAAAAGTTTCTTTTTATCTATGATTAAGTATAAATAATGGGGGAGTGAGCTACCAATATACATATTTATATAATTAACAGTAGTGTTAAGTTTCAACTCCATAACTTGTTTTTATAATCTCCATTTTACAAAACCTGCACTTACAAGATCAAGAAAAGCGTAAACAGTATTTACTAAATGCACATACATGTACTTTATACTTGGCAGTCTTTTTTGGTCAATGTTCTTCATATATAATATTTATTTGTTATATTTTCATTTTCTATAATAGCAAACACTTACAGTCTTACCCCAGGAGTCCTACATGCTAATAACACATTTTCATGAGTATTAACTTGTACAATCATATATATTTAGTTACTAATTAGCTACTTTTTTCTTATTAGATATTGATAATCATTTAGTTTACATTATATTTTTAGCTGTTAATTTGATCCTATTTTTAGGATACTTCTGAGAAAGATGTGTGTGGTACAAGGAGCCAGGATTCAATTCTGGATTTTCTTGGTAAAACAACAGATTTGCTATCAGCTCATATGGGTCCTTAATGCTAGTAAATGATCAACATATGTAATATATGGTTACATTTTCTGGAGATATTACTACTTAGAGAAACATTTTTTAAAGTTAAGCCTAGTCTCATCCCTTCTGTTCCTAAAAAAACTCTTAACATCAAAATAATATTAATAGCAATCAGGTTTATTCTTGTATCTACTAACTGTTACTGTTAGACCAAAACCTGACAAACTTTAGTAAAACTATCATTTAATTTGCTCTTCTCAGGGTCTAAGTTTCCTACTTCCAACCTCGTCATTAGCATAGCATGGTATAGAATAAAGTATCACTTTGTTTTTCCCATTTCAATAGCTCCCTCACCATTAACTTGTACTGTTGTACTTGTAAGTTAATTTCTCAGTATCTAGAATACATGTTTATATTATATAATATATATATATATATACACACATATCTAATTTATCATAATTAAGATTATTTTTATGTCTGGATTAGTTATAATATTTACAGTTTAATACGTTATAAGTATAACCTGTCATCACATTCACTGCTCATTTTACAGACGTAACTGCATACAGTATACCATACTGTATGGTGTATTAAACTTAATTTATAACGTAATTCATTTGCTCAAAATTAGTGCACTGCAACTCAGCAGCCAAAATTGCTACAGCTGCAGTGCTAAACCTATTCAATAATTACCCATATTCTATATTACAAATAAAAATAATAATAAGATGAAATAATTTAAATGGTTAACTTACATGTAATGCACTAAATTACACATGAATGACGCATAGTCTAAAAAATCCAAATATGTGTATAAGACATTTCTCTTTACAGCAACACACACGAACACTAACGCCACCTCTACTGAATAACCAAGTAATTTATATCAGTTCTGTAACATTGGACAGTAATTATCCATTCATAATTGCATATCTATAGTCTAGTCATGAATAAAAACATATAACCCGAGCGCTTTCGAAAAGTGGACCTTTCTTCTTCAGGGGAAAACTGAAAAAGAAAGGTCCACCTTTCGAAAGCGCTCGGGTTAT